GGATTTTTCCAGGTTTAATCTGACTTCTCATGGAGATCCTATAGGGCAGAGTAGAACTGCCCCATAAGATTTCCAAGGCTGTAATCTTTACAGAAGCAGATGGCTACCTCTTTCTCCTGCAGAGCGGCTGGTGGATTCAAAGCACCAGTCTTTCAGTCAGCAGCTGATCACTTAACCACTTTGCCACCAGAGCTCCTTGTGTTGGAATGGACTCCATGGCAATGGGTTAATTAACTTATAGTCAATGCTCCTTCCCATCACATTATTCTGTCTTTCACATTATCGTATTTAAGCCTCATTTTAAAGATCTTGAGTAAATTCTTCTACATTTTGAATTTCTTTAGTGGCCACTAACAAAAGGTGGCAGTGTAAGGAAGATCAGTCCAACTCAGACAGCTTTGGTCTCCACAGTATCAGCCTAGGAATGGAAATCCTAACCACTAGCCCACCAGCATAAACTCCCAGGGATTGCTAGAGGGTGCTGGCTCATCTGAGTCACTCCTGCCCTGCGTGCTGTGCTCTGGAGGTGGTAGGGTCAATGGAACAGGCATTAGACCAGGAATGAGACCGAGTTCTCATCTTAGAGCAGCCTCAGACTGGCAGGGTGCCATCTGTGTGCTGGGCACCATGCTCCCTTAATCTTCTCAACTATCCCATGAGTGGGCATGACAACCCCTAGTTTACAGAGGAGGGAATTGACATTGAGAAAGTTAAGTAATTCCACCAAGGTCACAAAAGCCAGTATTCAGCCCAGGTCTGCCTGACTCCAAAGTCTTCACTTTTACTCTACAAAGTTGTCTCTAAATCACCTAAATGCCCTGAACCTCAGATTCCTCAAAAATAAAACAAGGAGATTGTGTTAAATCAGTACTCTATGTGCCATAGAACCCTATGGATTCCTTGAAGGGAAAGTGCCTCAGAAGTCACTTTGGGAAGGAATTCCAAGGAAACAGGGAATCAGACCACTCTCCCCATCCCCTAATCCTACCCCCACCCCCACCCCACCACCCCGGCCATACATGCACCAAACAGAGCGAAGCAATCCCACTCTGACCAACCTGCCTTATAAATTTGGCTTTCCATATTCAGATTGAAGAGAGAATTCTTCTGTTAAAAAAGTTTGGGGACTACTCTACCAAGTGATCTTTAAGTCCCGTTTGGAAGAGAATCAGAGTCACGAACATATAAAAACTTTGGTAAATCAAGTGTCAGAAGGGAAGCTGGATTCACTTGGCTGAGCCTGTCCAGAAAACATTTGGTGGCTTTGAAAGAAAAGGCTATGGCTGAACTTCTGCTGATGGAAACACAATTTGAGAACACGTTTGGATAGTGTCTGTGAAGACAGACTGCCTACCCAGGGCCAATTAATGATGAGCACAGTCTGAGTTGTCTTCTCTTGTGGTGGCCATCCCTTAAGGGTTTCAACTGGTCAGGGATGAAAGGATCTCAGCATTTGTTGACTTGTTTAATTCTAACTTATCATTTTTCTCTTCCTCTCTATCTTGCCTAATCCTCTTTTTACCCTGTCCTCCTCCTGTCCTGTCTCCCTTCTCTGGCCCCAAAGCCAGCTGGCAGACAAGAAAGGGGGGGTCTGGGTTGGTAAGAAGTAAGTGAATTCATTTACTCCTTTGAGTCTTGCCTTTTCGCTACCTATATTCCTGTACAGAGCAAAGCATTAGTGTTTGGATGACAACTACTGGGCTGGCATCTTGATGGATGCATGGAAAGCCAAGTTTCATTTCCCTCTATCCCTATAGATCACACGCCTTTAATCAAAGATGATGTATATAGAAATGAATAAAGCTAACGAAAGGCCAAGTGCTAATCATAGTGATCATATCTTAAAAAACAAAAAAAACACAGATTTATTGAGGTACACTTTACATACCATAAAATTCACTCATTTTAAGTGTTCCATTCAACAATTTTTAGTAAATATACAGAGTTGTATAGCCATCACCACAAACCAATTTGAGAACATTTCCATCACCCCCAAAAAATCCCTTAAGCTCATTTTCAGGTACTCCCTGTTTCTACCCCAAGCCCTAGGTATCCACTGATCTACTTTTGTCTCTAGATTTTTTTTTTTCTGAATATTTCATATAAATTAAATCATATAACATGGAGTCTTTTGTGACTGGCATCTTTCACTTAGTGTAATGTTTTTGAGGTTCATCTATGTTGCAGCACGTATCAGGACTTCATTCCTTTACACATAACGCCTTTTTGAATGGCAGCATTATATACAGGAATCATACAAACCTGGGGTTGAATCACAGCACTACCACTTCTTAGCTGTACGACTTTGAGGTTAAGTTCCTTAACTTATCTAAAACTCATTTGTAGAATAAGGATAATAATCCCTCCCTCAGAGGACTGTTCTATGAATTAGTTGAATTGTGCCGGCAAATACTAGACACTCAAGAAATCCAGTCTTGGCTTGACGGAGACTGGAGGGACCCTGGAAGACATGGCCCCCAGACTTTCTGTTAGCCCAAAACTAAAACCATTCCCAAGGTCAACTCTTCAGACAAAGATTAGACTGGACTATGGGACATAAAATGATACTGGTGAAGCGTGTCTTCTTAGCTCAAGTAGATAAATGAGACTAAATGGGCAGCTCCTGTCTGGAGGCGAGATGAGAAGGCAGAGAGGGTCAGGAGCTGCTTGAGTGGACATAGGAAATCCAGGGTGGAAAGGAGGAGTGTGCTGTCACAGTATAGGGAAAGCAACTAGGGTCACATAACAATGTGTGTATACATTTTTGTATGAGAAACTAACTTGTATTGTAAACTTTCACTTAAAGCACACACACACAGAAAAACAAAAGAAATCCATTCTTTTTCTCAGCACTCCCCAAGAATCTTTGCTTTTCTAAAATTCACCCCTGGTTCAAACTTTAAACTGAATCCTACAGCCTCCCTACTAGCCATCATATCAAGCTTAAAATGGGAGACCACATAACAAGCAATATCAGAGACAGAATTCCACCAAGAAGAATCACGACGTTCATTAATGGAGCCCAGATGGTGAGGACTAACAGGATTTCCTCCAATTACATTGCCATCATTTTTCATAAAGAAGGTTAAACTGTACTTAATTATTTTAAAGAGGAAAATGTGTCAAATTCTACCCTAGCACATTTTATGGAGTTGGTCTAACTTTTCTAAGTTCCAAAACACCATATTTACCCCACTCATTCTTATAAAACTACCCTCATTAACATCAACCCTCAGATAAGATGCAACCAAATAGTAAAGGTCCACAAACCCAGGGGTAAATAAAATCCACCTTGAGTTTTCAAAACTCCCCTTTAACCAATAGCTTCAGACTCTTTCTTCCCTAAACCTTTGGAAGAACTTGAATTTTAAGGTGTCGCAAAATAGACTGAATTGAAGTCCTTGTTTGTTTCTCTAGTCCACCTTCTCTGATTAGAACATGTCATCCATTTGAGTCTCAACTTAAAGGGATCCTGGATACAACTCTGGGATACAAAGTTTACAAAGATTCTACCCCCTTAGCCCTGAGTGTAAAGTTTTCTGTTCTGAACCTGCTCTTCTTTCTGAATCATTATTTCTCTGCAGTTTTGAATCCACCACTGCTCCCCTTCAGGAGCCCTGGTGGCGTGGTGGTTAGGAACTACAGCTGCTGCTCTCCTTCATGTTTTTGACTATTTCCCTTCCCTTCTTGTTTGGGATTTATCACAGCTACGTTTCTTCCCTGAATTTCCCTCCACCTCCACTGTCAGTGACACTCCCAGATTCACTTCCTATTAAGTACAGGGTAACAGTTAAAAAAAGAAAAGGACAACGCTCCTCAATATTTCTACTAAATAAAATAGGTTTGGAGCATATTTTATTTAACCCTCACTTGGAGGAGATTAGCACAGTGTATCTTCATCTATGACATAAAATAACTGTTGTCAAATGTAAACTAGTTATTAGGAGAGGCAACAAATGGCTTTGTAATCTTTACATACTAATAATAGTCACTATACATATTATTGGCATTAAATGTAACCAAGAGCGATACTCTCAAATTGGTAGATTAGATATATTCCCTACCAGTGATCAGTCTGCAACATTATAAAGTGTGCCTGACTAATTTGAGCTTTTATTATGACAAAATCATATTCACAGAGATAAACAGATGAGAGCTATATACAGACTAATTGGGCACTTACATTAATGTACTTATATAAGGATTTCTGTGTCTCTTTGCTGCAAGTACTTATCTTGAAAATAGGAACTGTTAACAAAATTCATGGCTAACTTTTTTCCCAATAGTGAGAGATGAGGAAGAAACGAATGGGGTCCCAGAAGACACATTTCTACTCATTATGTTATCACCTAAAATAGTCTTGGGAATCCATAAATGTGATAAAATAAATAAAAATAATTTGGGGGGCATCAACAGCTTAGGTTTAGTTAGATTTGTGAGTTTCCCCAGTCTTTAAAAAGATTTTTTTATGTTTAAACTGCCTTTCCATATCACTATAGTGAAGAGAGAATTTATAACCAAGACTTTATTTTAAGGATTTTATTTTAAGCATTATCATAGGAATTTATCTGATGGTATAAATAGTTTAGCAAATCTGGGATTTATGTAAGATTTTCTTCTCTACTGCACAGGTCTTTTGTTCAGCAGCTCGTGACAAAATCATCTTGAAGCACGTGGATTTAACCTTAGTTTCATCAAACATTCAGCGAAGAATGGTAAGCCCCAAATTCCAGTATATGGCCAGCATATTGAAAGTTAACTTTTAAAAATATCACTAAATGACCAAAAACTTCAAAGTATATTAAAAAATCACAGAACCTTTGGATTACGGTTTGGCATATAGTTTGTTTTTTAGCTCTCTAGAGAACCTTGATCTCAGGGTGATCAGTTAAAACCCCAAATTTGTAGAAACCCACTCTGAGGCCCTTGCCACCAAAAAGATCTGCCAACAGCCATGCATTATTTATATGAGTTAGCAAATAATGCCAAGAGTCTCCTACCCTGAGATGGCTGCAAGTTTTTGGTGTGCCTGACGGGCCATTTCACAGCCTTTGGTTCTCGTCTTGTGCATTTCCGCCCGGAGTGAGGGGCAGCTGACTGAGACATCCCCGATAGAAATGACCAGCTCTCGGTACAGGGCTACTTGTGTGTTGAACTCTTGAACAAGCTGCAAAAGAAGCAAATTTCTTTCACTAAACACTTATCATTAGAAAGTTTCCTACTTCGGTGTGCATAAACAGGGGCCTTCACTGACTCCTGATGGATGTCCCCAAATCTTCAGCTAAGGAGACTACAAACTGTTTAAAGCTTAAGCCACAAAGATGGCAAGTTCTCTTTGTCCAAGGCAAATGTTGATTTTTCATCACAGCAAGCTTGGTTACGGAAGCTCTGTTTCCAGACCTACTTTCTCCCATTGGTTCAGATTGTTTCTGAAGAGCAAGAACATATTTGAAGAGCTAACATGCCACTCCCAGGTCTCTAGAGAAAGATCCTGGGGACTCTGGCATAGACATTCCGCTCTACTTCTGCGAGGAGGTTGGATACGGATTTGAAGTTGCGTGAGGATAAAAACCAAAAGTAGGATGTAACAGGCAAACCATTCACCTCCCGCCGGGCCACTGAAGCTTTCCGGCTTTGGAGACGGAAAGGAAGACCCGCCACAGCCTCTGAGCTGGAACCTTCGTCCTCGCCGCAGCGCCCAGAGCGCCCTGTTTGGGTTTGTTTGCTACTGTCTCCCCACAAAGGCAGCACCCCCACATCCTCCCTCGCGGGTGAGCTAGCCAGTTCTCGGTGTCCTTTGCGTCCACCATTCTCCGAGAGGGGAGAAGCACGACCTGCAGCCGCTGACCCCCAAGACCCTTGCCGTGGCACTTTTCTACGCGGGGCCATTACGACCTGGGTGTCACCCTGAATTTGGAGGGCCACAGATTTAAAAATAGTGCACGTGCACGTGATCTACATAGAGGAGCTAAGGGTGGAGGAGTGGCTGGCACTCAAACAAACGATTAACACACACGACTCCCCCATCCCGTCTCCAAAAAAAAAAAAAAAAAGGCGCAGTTTTCACCCACCATCTTGCAGTCGTCCAGGGCTCGCTGGGTTTTGTGGGCGCTCTCGGAGCCGCTGCCCCTGCGCTCCCAATCCCCGCTCTGCAGCGGGGGCTTGCTGATCTGGAAAATCGAGGAGCGAGTGGACCGGCTGGGGCGCTTTTTGCGCCCATTCGGTGCAGAACTCATGCATACACATCCACTAAGCCGAAGCCGCTGGTGCAGTGCGCCCCGGCGCCGGCGGCCGGTGTTTGCCCTGCGCGCCGCGGCCAAGCAGCCGGAGCAGGGACACGGGACGCGCCGCTCACAGGGTTGGGGTTGGCTGCGCGGGTGGGTAACCTTCAGCTTGAAGGAGAGCAGGGGAAGCGCTGACTGTGCCGTACAGCATCGCTTCCACTAGCAGCGAGGAAGGGGCTCGGTCAAGTTCTGCTCAGCAGCATTGCGGGCCGTGTCCCAGGAGCAGGGCGCTGGCGCGGGCTCGCACAGCCTTCTCCTCGGCATGGATTGCAAGGCCGGGGGAGAAGGAACGCGCCGCCCGGCGGCTCCGAGTTTCCATTCAGATGGGGGAGCAGCTTTCAAAGCCTGCGCTACAAGGTGGGGAGTTGAGGGGTGTCGCTCTTGCTTTAATGTCTTCCCGCAGCGGCACTCGGTTTGTCTTCCCCCTCCTTCCCCAGTCTCCAGGCCTGGAAGGGCTGGCCGTCTCCAAAGCAAGCAATTGGCTCTAATCGGCTATCTTGATCCTTCGTCTCTACGGGCTCATCTGTTTGAGGATCCCAAATGAATCCGTGGCGGGACTGGCAGACGCAGAGAATCGGTCCGACTGACGTTCGCGGCCCCGCACATTGATAGGACCGCAATACTAATGTGATCCGTCCATACAGCGCCCCCACCCCCGACAGTTTATGCACTTATCCAATCAAATGCCCGGGAACATCAATTGCAATATTACTTCATCTGCTCTATTATTAGAAAGGAAAAGTGTCATCAGAGTGGAGCACATTGCCACATGCTGTGACCTAAACACGGATTTCAAATAAACCACTGTGTGGACTTGAGGCCCTTGCCTTCTGGAACTGTCTGGGGCCACAGATTATCAAAGCCCAGAATTAGGGGGGAGTGAGGTTTTTTGCTTCAAATGGAAGATCTCTTGGTAACAGAAAATGAAAGCTTTGTTTCCCTGTTGTTTGTTTTATCTTTGTTCAATGTGAGTAGGTGTGTGGGGCAGAATGCACAGAAGTTCAGTCAAATTGGTTCTCATCCCACTTCAGCTAATAAAGCTCTTGATCTTAAATTCCAGGGTCTCAGGACTCAGCTCTGATAGTTTCCCAATAGAAGCTTGAGCAAGTTTAAGAGCCAACAGTCCTTCCTGGACCTCAGAATGACTCTTGCATCCTTTATGAGACATTAATGACCTAGATACCAATGGAGCTATCCCAGGAAAAAGTAGAGAGGATACCAGCATGAAAGAGAAATGGGGTGATATCCTGGGCCATTTAAGACCACCTTTACCACTGACATCCGAAGATCCTGCAGGGAGTAAGAGGGAGTGGAGTGGGCATTCAACTCTAATGCTCTGAGAACAATTGTTGCCATGAATGATCCACTTGGAGTGGGCAGATAAAGGGGTCTGCCACAGGGAACTAGATATGTGTTAAAAAGCCTGATGAAAAACAAATCAAGTGTTTCTGGTCAATCTCTCAAGGGGGTATGGAGAATGCACAGGGAGGAAGGGCCAGAAATAGCCAAGAAGGCTTACACCTAAGGATGGTAGCTCCAGATTTTTTTTTTTTTTTTTTTACAAAAACAGGTAAACATATTGAGGTGGACATCTAAATGGATATTCAGCTTCATTTGCATAGTACTTCACAAAAGATTGAGAGTCAGTTGTTACTGTCAAAGAGTGTGGGGCACTACAGGGCAAGTCAGCACAACTGGACTAAACCAAAGCTGAGAAGTTTCCTGAATACCATCAAACACTTTAAATGACAGAGTAGCAGGGGTAGGGGTCTGGGGACCATGTTTTCAGGGGACATCTAGGTCAATTGGCATAACAAAGCTTATTAAGAAAATGTTCTGCATCCTACTTTTGTGAGTGGCGTCTGGGGTCGTAAAAGCTTGCAAGTGGCCATCTCAGATGCATCAATTGGTCCCAACCACCTGGAGTAAAGGAGAATGAAGAACACCAATGACACAAGGAAAGTAGTAGCCCAAGAGACAGAAAGGACCACATAAACCAGAGACTTCATCAGCCTGAGACCAGAAGAACTAGATGGTGCCCAGCTACCACCAGTGACTACCCTGACAGGGAACACAACAGAGAGTCACTGATGGAGCAGGAGAAAGGTGGAGTGCAGAACTCAAATTCTAGTAAGAAGACCAGACTTAATGGTCTGACTGAGACTGGAGGAATCCCGGAAAGCATGGCCCCTGGATTCTCTATCAGCCCAGAACTAAAACAATTTCTGAGGCCAACTCTTCAGACAGGGATTTGACTGGACTGTGGGACATAAAGGGATACTTGTGAGGAGTGTGCCTCTTAGCTCAAGTAGATACAAGAGGCTAAATGGGCAGCTTCTGTCCGGAGGTAAGATGGGAAGGCAGAGAGGGTTAGGAGCTGGTTGAATGGACATTGGGAATCAGGGGTGGAAAGGAGGAGTGTGCTGTCACAGTATGGGGAGATCAATTAGGGTCACATAACAATGTATGTATAAATTTTTGCATGGGAAAAAAAATAAAAAGAGTGTGTGGGGGGAGTGGGCAGGGGGAGATCAGCCCCACCCCCAGACTTCAGTGTGCTGCTGTCCTCCAGGTGTTTAGATGGCCCCCAGACCAGGGTGAAAAAGCCTCTTCTGGTGGCTGAACCTCCCTAAAGGTAGGAAGATAAAAGAGGCTAACCCTTAGCCTGCTCTCTGTCTGTTCTTTCCCTCAATATCAATTTTCTCTCTACTTCATGTGTGTAGGGAGGAGAAGGAGAGGTTGAGGAACATATCAGGAGGTTGGGACTTGGAGAGTGATGGAGGTGGTGGGGATGGTAAGGAGGAAGGCAACAGAAGGAGCTTACGGACTTTAAGAAGGGATGGATAATGGTTACTTATCAAGTGTTTGAGGTTCTGTGATATAAATCCCTTTCATTACCACTAACTACTCCCCATCTCAAACCTTCAAGAAAAGCCCACTATACCTCATGGTAAGTCATGCTTTGAAGAATAAAGAAAAGGGGCTGTGTTTCATGTGTACACAGACATAGGATGGAGAGAACAGGATACTGGCGGTCAGTCTGCTGGAAATCAGTTCCCACCCCTCTTTTATTGCAGCCCCCTTCTCTGCTGAAAAATACTGACTGCCACCAGGTTTGAGCATTTCAAAGCTTCTCAGTAGTAGGCTTCTACTCCAGCTACAACCATCTGGTTTCTACTCCCCCTTTCTTCTGCCTAAAGACAATTTCAACAAATTAAAAGAAAAAAGGCAACACAATTGCACTGCCCTGTTTCTATGCCATAGTATTTGTGGGAGGTGGGAGAAGGTGAGGTAAAAAGGAACTAAATGGGTCAAACGTAATGTCATGTTTGAAGGACTACAGACTTGGAAACCCATTGGGGGATTAAGGGGAAATTGTCGTTTGCAGGGGCCCCTTGGCCTTCCCTGATACACAGTCCAAGCCATTTTCCTGAGATGGGAGAAAAACAGCATCAATCCCAGAGCTGTCTCTCCCAGCGACAAATGCTGTAATCAGAATAGCAGCAGGCAGGCTTAGTTCCCTCACCTTCCCCCACATTCATAACAGCATGAATTTACATTCCTGGGGCTGTCTGACTGCCAAGTAGAAGGGTAAAGTGCAGTTGGAAATCCCAACAATACGGGAACATTTTCTGGTTATCCAGGCTCGATTTTGGTACAACCCTGATGATGGGTCCTCTATAGGTATGTGGAGGGAGCCCTGGTGGTGCAGTGGTTAAGGACTTGGCTACTAACCAAAAGGTCGATTATTGGAATCCATCAGCCGTTTCCCGGGAGAAAAGATGTGGCAGTCCACTTCCATAAAAAGATTAAAACAAAAAACAAAAAAACAACCCACTGCTGTTAAGTTGATTCCAACTCATAGCGACCCCATAGGGTTTCCGAGGCTGTAAATCTCTACGGAAGCATACTGCCGCATCTCTCTCGAACCACCGACCTTTCAGTGAGTAGTCATCACTTTAACCACTGCACCACTAGGCCTACATTCCGTAAAGATTTGAATGTGATTTGAGTCAAAGCCATATACCTATAAAAAAGCAAACCCATTGCTGTTGAGTGGATTCTGACTCTTAGCATCCTTATAGAACAGAGTAGAACCACCCCAAGACTGTAACCCTACAGGGCAGTTCTACTCTGTTCTATAAGGTCGCTAAGAGTCAGAATCAACTCCACGGCAATGGGTTTGGTTTTTTATGGCTTTGATCCAAATCACATTCAAATTCAACTCCAATATAAGGTCCACCTTACATTTGCATGTTCTTTCTGTTTTAGAGAATTAATTTTGATCTGAAAATTTTTTAAATGGATTATATGAGCCACTGGTAAGTTATTTTGAATTGGTGGTGTAAGAAACCACAGAGATGAACAACTCCAACTGAGCTGACCTCTCATGAAAAGAGATACTGGGAGGCAGGTTTCTCCAGGAGGGGAAAACAATGAAATACAACCATATTTGTGTGGGTCTGTAACAGAGGCAGAGAAAAACACAGACGCTGGATTATGAGAAGTTGAGGAGTTTTGAAGGGAATTATCTTAGTCATCTAGTGCTGCTATAACAGAAATACCACAAGTGGATAGCTTTAACAAGAGAAATTTATTTTCTCACAGTCTAGTAGGCTAGAAGTCCAAATTCCGGACGTCAGTTCCAGGGGAAGGCCTTCTCTGTTGACTCTGGAAGAAGGTCCTTGTCATCACTCTTCCCCTCCGCTAGGAGCTTCTACGCACAGGAACTCCAAATCCAAAGGAACCCCAGGTCCAAGGACACGCTTTGCTCCCGGCACTGCTTTCTTGGTGGTATGAGGTCCCCCCTCTCTTCTTGCTTCCCTTTCCTTTCATCTCTTGTAAGATAAAAGGTGGTGCAGGCCACACCCCAGGGGGACTCCCTTTACACCGGAACAGGGACATGACCTTAGTAAGGGTGTTACAATCCCACCCTAATCCTCTTTAACATAAAATTACAATCACAAAATGGAGGACAACCACACAATACTGGGAATCATGGCCTAACCAAGTGGACACATATTCTGGGGGGACACAATTCAATCCATGACAGGAATGATGAAGTTATTTTGGTTGGTGTCAAGAGATAAGAGATTATGTTATTATGAAGAATTTAGTGAATAAACTAAGGAATGGTTTATTTCCACTAAAAACAAGAGGAAGTACAATATATTGGGAACATTGATTTACTAATTTGACAAATATTTTTGAGTGTTTTAGCAGCAGATCCAAGTTTTATTGGTCCTGAAGCTTATACAATCTGGGGACCCCTCTTTAAGAAAAAGAATTCAGAATTTTAAATATAAAACTAGATACATGGTCTTAGAAGAAGCCTATGCAAGTGAGATTCCGTGAAGCTTAAGATTCATTCCCTTCACAGTAAATTTCCACCTTTAGTGTCTGTAATATATACATAGTGGGCATCTGATGTTTTGCCTGCTTAGTTTTTATTCTTTCTTTCTTTTTTTTTGATGATAGAACTTAAATTTCCTTTGAG